CGAGTCTCAGGAACCAAGCCGGGCGGGCGGGCGAAAGCCCTAGCATGCTCTCAGAATACAAAACGCTCACAGACATAGTAAGACCCTTAGGGCTTTGGTCCCGCGCCCACATGGCGCGCGGGTCAAAAGCCCAGAAGGACCCAAACGCACACCACAAAGATGTGGAAAATGCACATGATCAGAGATGCACACACGAAAACCACCACGAAAAGCCGAAACCCCCCGACGAGCCTTGCCATTGTGGAGTTTGGGGAAGGTGCAGGTGCACTCGCCCCACGGAGCCCCAACCCAAACACACCTTTGACACAAGCACGCCTTAATACCCCTCCCTGGGGCACAGGTCGCTGAGCGGTGGGCAGCAGGAACTGTCCGTTGGCTCCAAGCAGGGGAAGCGCCAGCTATGAAAGGCTGCCTGTGCTGCCCCTGCAGGCACCCGCCTGTAAACACAGGAGACCACTGGTGAACACCGACGACATCGTGCGTCACCCTCTCCCCCTCCCCTCATTCAGGTACTGCAGCCCCTGCCTGGGCCTTAGCGTGCTGAAACATAAAATCCGCTGCCTCTTTCCAACATTTAAGGCTACACACCTGATAGGAACACCTGTGCCCAGTCCCCCAAACTGTCTCAGATTCGTGGGGTCACCCAACACACAACCCCCCCCCCCCACCAAAGCACACACAATCGAATCCATCTTGGTTCACAGAGACTCTGGTCTCACCAATGTGTTCCAAATGCAATCAACCACACTCAGCAACTGTCACCCAGGGATGGCTAGCAGGATGGAAGGCTGGGGGGCTACTGATTCTGCCAGAGTCCCTGGGGGTTTACCAGGCAACCCCTTTTCCTGCTAGTCCCCCCCCCCCCCAACAAGGGCTTAGAGCTTTTCACTCAGCTAGGAAGCTGCCCTGTCTCCCATTCTGAGGCTCAAAAGGAAAAGGAGAAGGAGGGGCAGGGAGATGGCTCTGTGGGTAAAGGTGCTTGCAGCCAAACTTGAGTTCGATCCTTGACTCCTGAAGTTGCCCTTTGATCCCCCACAAGCGCCCCCTTAAATAAAATGTAAATAGGGTCGTTGAGAGGTAAAGATGTTTGCAATGCCAACCTTGATTGCCCAAGTTTGATCTCCAGACAGCATATAGTGAGAGACTAAGGGCTGTTCTCTGGCTTGTACATGCCTCTCACAGGCTTGCACTCACCCTTTCTCTCTGTCAGTCCTGACTCTCTCTGTATCTCTCTGTCTCTGTCTCTACACACACACACACACACACACACACACACACACACACGTAAAAACTAAAACTAAATGTAAAATCTAAAAATAAATAAATGTTAAAAAATCACAAAAAAAAATTTAATGTGGAGGTTAAGAGCACTGACTGCTCTTCCAGAGGACCCAGGTTCAATTCCCAACACCTATATGGCAGCTCACAACTGGTTGTAAATTCAGTTTCAAGAGCACCAGACACACATGTGTGGTACACACATATAAGCAGGCAAAATACTTATACACATTTTTAAAACTTTAAATAAGATAAAATGTAAATAAATGAATAAAAAGAAAGTCTTCTAACCTCTGAGGAAAAATGTTAGGATTTTTTAGATGGGTCATTCAGATATGCTTAATTTGCATATATCAATTTGCATATATCAGTTTGCATCTAGCTCTCAGGTTCTGTGAGCTGGTGTTTCCCTGGTCATTCTTCCTTTTCTCCACAGTTAGGGGGGCTTGTGGTTAGCCAAGGAACTTTAACTCTTTGAATCCTGGACTTGTACTTCAACCTGAAAGGGAGCATCTGACCTTGGGGGGGGGGCGCAGATTGAGAGCCAATGAGAACCCCTAGGGAAGAAAGCAGGGGTGGGCACCTGGTTGGGCTGGAGGCTGAAAGAACACACTTCCCAGTTTTTGGGGGGGAAATATGTTCTTTTCTTGTATTCTCTGCAGGAGCCTCATCTGACTGTGGCCAGGAGGAGATAGCTTCTGAGGTAGGTTAGAGTGCCAAGTTAGGGTACCCTTCTTGTCTTCAGCTAATAAACTGAGACCAGCATATCGAACATTTTCGGGTTGGGGGGGCTGTTTGACTTTGTTGTTTGTATGGGTTTTTTGTTTGTTTGTTTTGTTTGTCCTCAAAGCCCCTGGTTAAAGTGAGAGTGGCCGGCAGGCACCACTGCCCCCTCCTTTGTGATCACCAATGTCTCCTTGGTCCTCTTTCATCTCTTCCTTCCAAATCCCTGACCTCAGCCTCCAAAATTATCCCTGTGCTGTGCAGTGCAGCAGGCAGGCTGGGGGGGGGGAGTTCTCAGCCAGAATTAAGGTGACTGGAGGATCTTGGGCTGGGCCACTGGGATAAGGGTTAGATCCTTGCACTCCTGCTCAAGGCAGCAGAAAAAGTGGGGTACAAAGAGCACAAAGAGCCCCAGAAGCAGTGAAGTGAGCCCCTCATCTAGACTCCATTTACCCCTCCTAAGCCCTTCTGTACCCTGCCCTCCCTGGGTTTAGAAAGAGAAAGAAGCAAGCCACTGGGGCAGCCTAGGTACCTAAATGTCACAGGCTTAAACTAAAAGGCATTCCTGTGGCTGGGGGCTGAGTGCTTTCTAATCCCAGAGCCATCCCATGCCTGCTGAGGGCTCTGGCCAGTGGCCTCCTTCTCTGAGCCATGTTTCCATGTCTATAAGCAGGGATCACACACCTGTCACTGAAGAAAACCTCAGGGTTTTGTAGGCAGGAAAACTCAGTGCCTAAAAGGTCACCCGCAGCTGGGGCTTGACTTCAGCCCTAGGCAGCTAGAAGGATCTCAGAGAGGAGCAGACAGCGTCCTCTTCTGGAGCCCCTGCAGGGTGGCTTTGGGGTGGGGGCGTTTCCTCTTTCAAGACTCACAAGCCCGGGAGTTTTATGAGGGTTAGCTCTGGTCTCAATAAAGCGTTTGTTAATGCTGCGGGCTGAAGGGCTGAAGATGTCTGTGTGACGAGCAGATGCCGAGAAGGAAGGAGCAGCACAGGAGCCCTGTGGGGAGGGGGCGAGGGGGAGGTGGATCGGGGCGGGGAGTGGAGATGGGAGACTGTCTCCAGCTCTGAGGCTGCTCTGAAAGCTTGAAAATGCCAACCCCAGCCCTTGGGGAGAAGTCGGCACAGTCTGCCTTTTGCTGAGCAGATCTTGGGGGCTGGGG